GACCTAATATTCTCAATTAATTGAGGATGAAAAACAGATTAAAGACCAAATATAATATATTAGAAACTGTTTTAAAACCTTCATAAGTTTGAAAAATTCACTTTTAGCCTTTCCATTGTTTTCATAGTAGATCATTAATTTTTCTTCTCATGCCACAGAGTCTTAGGAAATCCTGACTTGAATGGGAAGGTTTAAAAAAGTTTGGATAAAATGAAATAAGAAAAAAAAAAGCAAAATTATCCTGGTACATTTAGGCATGATCTCTTTCAGAAACATATTTTACCCAAGGTTATAACCCACATCATGGCTTTAGAAAATCCATCAAGCCAAAGCTCTCAGGCAGCATAACCTGCCAGACCATCCAAGAAGCATTGGACGTTATTTGTGAGCATAAAGTTTTTTTTAATAACACCAAATATGGTCTTCTATTGTTTTTCATGTTGTGGGGAAACCAACAGCAAAACTTAGGTGGATACTGTAGTAGTACCTACCAACGATCAAATGGTTCTGGACGTGCACAGGTCCCTGTATAAACAGTGGGGTGATCGTTCCTTTGTGGTTACCGCACCTAGACTGTGGAACAGCCTGCGTGTTCTCACAGATCTGCCCTTTTTTAAATCTAGATTAAAGAATCATTTTTTTCAAACTGACTTTTAATACTAAGTACACACTTATTTATGCTTAGGATTTTTGTTTTTACAATGTTTTTATCTTTCTGTGAAGCTCTTAGGTTTTCCTGGTGTTGTTGTAAAGGGCTATACAAATAAACTTTGATTGACTGATAGTTACTTTCGCTAATTAAAATTCAGTTTGTCCTTTATTTTTTTTTTTTTAAATGTACTTCAATGCCAGCTTTACTGCCTCAATCATTTTATTTCTATTTGACTATTACTGTTTTGAAGAAAAACTACTCAAGTACAATTTTGGCTCCTCCACCTACCTAAAGCAACTTCAAAGAATGACAAACCAATATGTTTTAACCAAAAATGCAGCAGACCCATAACGCACATCAGCGTCCAGTGGAATAGAGTAATATAATATTCTATCTGCTGAATTTGTTGTGCCATTTGGAAGTCAAGGGATCTAAATATTGTTACTAAAAATAGATCACTGCACTGATCTAACATTTTTATTACTTACTGTAGGTAATGATTTTAAATGCTTTATGTTCTAAAAAAACAAACAGACATTTCGAAAGTTGTGTTTCTTCTGTCCAAATGTGTTATTTTATAATAATGTGACTTATTCAGTTTTAATTTGATCGTGCTGAGTGTCGGAACCTGTACATCATTTAAAATTTTCTTTGTATGTTTCTGAAAAATTTCACGAATTAATTAAGATCATTTTTTATTTCTCAAGAACAAAGTGCTTGAAAGTATAGTGGATGATGTTCTTTTGGCTTCAAGTTTCTTGGAGATGCTCTTATCTGATGGTCGTCCCACACGCCGATCTTTGCCGCATGCTTAGCTAACGTCATTTTGCAGGCTTATCCCATGATGGTTTCCTCTTGCTGCTCGCCCTGGTAATTATGCTTTTTTTTTCTTTTTCTTTTTTTTTTTTTTATAGATTTTTGACTTGCAGTACCTCCAATAAATCTTAAAAGTGACCTCCAGTTTCAGCTATTCATTGTAGAGCCTCACTTTACACTTTGACAATTTAAGCCATCCAGACAGACCTGCTCACAAAGTAACAACTGATATGCAATGCCCCAAAGAAGAGGAAAACGAGGTGAGGTCTTTTCCATGTGCAGTTATTCAAAAAGTCAATTAAATTTATAAAAAATTTACATTAGAAAAAAATATATTGTATTAAAGAAGTGCTACTCACACTCAAGTGTTCTGTGACTCTGCCCACATTTGCTGCACATTGTTTTTCCGCAAGAGCTTACAGTACAGAACCCCAGCACCAAAATTGTGGTTAATAAGCCCTCCTTTGTATCCTTGCAAAATTTTACCTCTGTTGCATTACAAATTTTGTAATGAGTGGGTATGGAAAACCACAGTCTGAATGTTGTTTTCTCAGAGCACATTTAAGTGCCTGGATATGGTGCTTGTTTTTTAGGTCTTCATGACTCTGAAATTTTCACAATATTTTCAAGTCTTGAGGTTTCTTTTAATCTACTGGGTTTTTTTTGGCACAACTGCCAAGGCCAGGCATTATGTGAATATATCTACAATGCTAGAACCAAATGGAAATGGAAATATAATATGACTTGAATCTTGTTTTAACCCACACTCATTAGATATATGGCAGCATTGCTGTCAAAATACCACCTTGTAAACTTTGCTTTTATAATAAATTTATTTTGTAGCACCATTGTTGATGTTTTTCATGTTTGATTTCTGATTTATTCACAGGAAAAAACCTTTTGCTGCAGATTAAATTTGTCGTATACAACAATCTCTGGGGTAGAAAGGGTCATCTGTGTGTGCACGCAGTATAACCCTGGTGTGACCCCAATCTAATTAAAGACAAATCACTCCCACAGCTGTTAGTGTTTAAATTGCTGTGTCAATAGCTCAGGATCCTACTGTTTTAACTATTAAAGCACACACGTTAACTTTGACACTAACATCACATTAGACATCTGCAAACAAAGACCAAAAACAAAAGGATGGAGAGCAGCGGAATTCTCTGCGGTAAATTAGCACCTACAGAGTTATTATTGTAATCAGAGATTTGGAGGGCTATGAACAGCGGCGTAACTCCCATTGCGCGAGACTCTACGAGACTCTGTCCGACAGCGTGGGCTGCACACCTTCTGCAGCATAATCACTATCATTTACCAGAGCTCAGCCCTCCACTGTTTATTGAAATATATTAATCTGGGATAAACAAAGCTTTCAACAAAACAAATTAACACTTACAAAGAACTGCTGCCCTAATGTGGCCTATTGAGATTGATATTAAAATGCAGATGAGTTACAAAGGAAAAAAAGAGGAGCAGCAAGAATTAACATAAGGAGGCCCAAGGTGATACAATTCCTTGGTTCCAGGTGAGTGAAGGGGAATCAAAACAGGCTTTTTCTGCTTTCACACTGTAGCTGAGATCAGCATCAAATGCCGCAAATGAAAGATATAGATAGAGGTTTTCAGTTTTCATCATTTACACAAGATTGCAAATCATCTGGGGATTTTTTTATATGATGACCGTTCAATTCAAATTATTCCATATATTATTGTACTTGCACACTGAAGTAGATGTTTATTCAGTTTTATTTCATGTTTTATTTATTTATTTTATTTAAAAGTAGTTTAAACACAGAAAGTAAGCTTTAAAGAGACATGTACGTTTTCACTGAAAATACATCTAAAATAACTTTTTTATTTTAACCACTAAAACGTCATTTGATGAGCAGACACCTCACCAGTTCAGCTCTGTTCCATCTATAAGCCTGCAGCCTTTTTGCATTGATTAACTTCAAGTCAGAAGTTACCGCACTTCTCTGCGGATGTGACGTCCAGCACATCCGCATTTAATGTGTCCAACCTACCTTATGGTCGAAACTTTATATTCAAGATTGATTTTGTGGATACTCAGTAGCGACCGGCATCAAGCTCAACTCAGACACCAATGGCAACAATAAAAAAAAACTAAAGTACAAGTGCAGGCCACGAGAATGAGCAGAAGATTGCTGTAGTTCTGTGTTTTAGCCACAGGTGGCAGTATTAT